CTCATCACCGTGAGGCAAATATGCCAACAGAGCACGCTACCAGCAGGGTGTGTAAATTCCACACCTGTCCCATCATCCTGCTCTCTCTCCCTCCTCCTCCTGCCTCTTATGTGCCTTCTCCACTTTCACACATGCTCCCCTCCTCATTCACACACACACACACACACACACACACACACACACACACACACACACACACACACACACACACTCACACACAGTGAGCAGCTCGAAGAGCAGAAAGCAGCACCGTCTTGTTCAGAACATGCAACAGCAAGCAGGGAAAACCAGCAGAAAGTACTCCAGGGATTAGAAAACACAACGGGCCCTTTTCTGTTCCACACAGGTAAGATGAGATCCAAATCCTCGATAGGTTAAAGTTTTTTTTCTTCATTTGAGCACAATTTTATCCAAAGATAACCAAATATCATTGATGAGTAATAAATGCATTTCTTCTTATTCAGTTGGATGCAGTTTTGTGTTTTGTATTGAAAGTGATTTTCCCATGAGAACTTCTAAACTCTGTTCAGGCTTCTTGTGGTAAAGGTTAATTTAAACAGAACGAGCATCACGCGTGAAGGTGATAGCAGACACTTTGTTGCCCAGCTTATTTAAGACCAAGATGGTTCATTGCACTTTTTCTCCACAGGAGAGGAGGAGGAGGAGGAGAGAAGGTGGTGTGGCAAGGGCTGCAGCTGCCTTTTCTCCTTTTAAAACTGTGAAAAATGACATAATGGCATTCCTGCTCAGGTAACCTCACTCGGACACTGATACCCTTGAAATTAATCTGACTGTTGAGTGTTATTCACAAGATTTGTGTTAATACGAGAAGCGGGACTCTGCATCAGCTATTAACTTCTTTGCAACACAACTGTGTTCTAATTATAACAGTTTTTGTGATTTTTTTCCATCAAGCAAGAAAACGTAAAATAACTTTTCTTTGAACAAGTTCATTGGCTTTGGATCAAAGCTGAGCCAATGTGAGACAAGCTTGTTACCCACTGAGAGGTGAAGGCGTGACACCACTGCTCTTGGAAGACCAACAACTTATTCTGAAAGCTGAGCCTGAGTCCTGAGGCTCAGATATAAGCACAAACAACAAGGAGGCTCCTGGCTGACAAGACATGGGAGTAAAACACCCATCGTGTGAAAGAAGAAAGCTGATATCTGTGTCCCAGGTCCATAATTACACATTTTTGTCTTTATCAGGACTCTGCAAACTTTCAAGGATTGTGCTGCAGAAAATGCTCCTTTAGTCTGATTATTTTCCTTTAATGGGGACACATAATGACTTTTTTCTCAAGTTATAATAGTTCCAAGCTTGATACAAAACATGTGTGTGAGGTTCTTTGCATAAAATCCCTCTCATATCCATCTCACAGCTTCACAGCCTTTACAGAATGAGCAGTTTCAGGGCTGTCACTTTAAGGAAACAAGCTTGAGCTGGCCCCACCCACCCATCCAGCAGTCAGGCTGCTTTGAGCTGAGAAGCTCTGATATCCGGGAGGGGCTGGGAGTAGAGCCACTGCTCCTCCAGTAGCAGCTCTCTTCTGCAGGTAAGAGGTGGGTCTATTCTAAGTCTCTGGTTGTGACATCACAAATGGGGATTTTTTCAAACAGCTTGTTTTATGCACATCATTCTTGAAACCAAACACTGACAGAAAACAAATGGATGATTTTTTCACATTTGGAGTGTTTATAGAGGCAGCAGAGACTCATATGTCATAATAAAAGGTGAGTTTTGCATTATTTGTCCCCATTTAATGTTTTTTTAAGTGAGCAGAAACTTTCCTGGAACAAATGTTTAACTTGATTTTTCTGCATTTTGTCCTTTGAACAAAGAATTTAAACACCCTGTAAACAATTCCAGTCAATTCAAACAATTTGATACACTCTTTACTAAAAATTGTCATGTTAGATTTTAAAGTACAGATTTATTTTTTATTTAAAAGGTATTTATATGTGTCTTTTGTTATTTGAAAGACAAATATTCTTGCCTTTGACGAGCAGTCAATATAAAGTCAAATTATGACCCGATTGTTCAGCCAGCAACTGCTCATGTGCCATGTGACAAGAGTAATTTACTGGATGATGAATTTTTGCTTTTCATGACCAGAAACATTAGTTTTTTTTCTGCAGTGGGTCTGATGTTCTCATTTCAGCATGAAGACTTTATTTGTATTTTCAAGACCGTGCATGATTCCTGCATCAACCTGAACCATAATGGCCTTTAAAAAAATCTCAAGTTCATGAGCGGTGTCATGAAATGTTTCCTTTTTTTCTTTTTCTTGCAGAACGGGAGTGATCTGTGTTGACTTTTCTTAAGACGCAGAGCTTAGATCATTGGTGAGCATTGATCCAAACAAGAATTGTTCACAGTGGCTAAGTTCAGTGTCTGACATGAAAAAATGAGCTCCTGCACACCCAAAGGTCTCGACTGTCTGAAAAAAATAAAATGAAATAAAAAAAAACTGAAAGCTGAAGAAAATGGCACATGTACTGTGAAGCAAAAATGCTGCGGAGAAAACTTTGCATGTCCAGGCAGACTATTAAAAACGTCAACTTCTTTTGATTTATGAGGAATTCACGAAGAAGAAGAGGGTGAGGAAAAAGGACAAAAGGTCACGACAGAATGATTTGTGAGCCACGTTTATTTTCCCCAAAACTTCCTCCAAATTTGGATTAAATCATGTCTTAAATTTGTCAAAAGGCTTGAAGACTCAGATGATGTAAGGTTATTTTCAGGTGAATAGTCCAAAAATTGTTTCCCTGGAAAACCTTTAAAACACTGATTTTGCTTGTTAAAACCAGTACCCTCTATTATTCTGACAGTGAGGAGCTTTTTCAGGTCGTTTACTCATGTGCCTACTGAACTGGATTTCAGTGTGTGTTTGCAGAACTGGCTCAGTCCAGCAGGAACAAGTGTGACACCTAATAAGTTCACCGTCAGCATGGAGAGGATGCCCGTCATCGTTCTCCCCATGAAAGTGAAATATAATGCACCAGAAACATTTCTATCACTCAAACGGAGCGATGACACGAAGGAATGAGGTGTGTGAGCTCCTCCATCAGCGTGCATCTTAATTTGTCCTCCTGTGAGCGATGGAGGGGGTGTATGGCTGCCTCTGCAGGCAGTTGTTATAGCAGCAGCTGATTTGTGCTGAGTAACACTTTGCATTGCCTCTCTTCATTCGTCATACTATAATAAGCTGTCAGTGTGTCTGCAAACGTCTTCTCTAAATTGGAAAGCAACAGCTTGACACCTCTGCAGTCATTATATAGCTGGCTGGAGCGACGCCACGTTAGCATAAGCAGGAGGGACCATCAGAAGACATGCTATTGATTTTAGATAACCCTAGTTGTCGAGGTGCTGCGTGAACAATTACCCCTCACCTTGGGCCATCTTCCTAAATCTGCAGGATTTGCAAAAGAGAAGAAAAAAGAAGCATGCGACCTGTTAAAATACAAGAAATATATGAGTTGCAGTAAAATTTGACATTGATTTTCAATAAAGTTCATTTGCATATTTGTGCTGCTTAAAAGAGAACAATTGACTTGACTTTTACTTATCGCCTGTGTTGTCCTAAAGTTGTAAAGTGTATCTTTTTTAAAAGTAACTCTTTTTTCCCCTGTAACTGTTTAAGATTACGTGGAATTAATCAGCAGTAGTTCCGTGATGTGCAAAAATAGCACTTATTGTACCACAAAATAGAATTTTTGCCTGTTTTTTCACCATAATATGCAGAAGAAAGGTAAAAATGCATAATTAAATAGCGAGTCATCTTGATGATGGGGATTCAGCATGTTGCATCAAAATTTTTGCCTGCAATTTTAGATTTAGGAATTGTGAAGAGATAAAAAATTTATGGAAGCCAAACAACATTTTCAGCTGTTATTTTTTGTGCCAATAACAAAACTATTTCAATGAGCCACATTAAAAAAGTATGTTTTTTTAATTAAAATAAATTGAAATACTAATATTTAAAATAATCTATATAAGTGGAATAAACTATCATTTTAAGGAGACGAGAATTGCAAAAAAAAAATTGTTTTATGTTGTCAGTGTGGTCATCATTTGCACAAAGCCTCCACTTTTTTTTCTGTAGACTTTTTTTTATTTTCAGGCTTTTGCACAAAAACTGTTCATTTTACCAAAATAATGACAAAGATGTAATTCATGCATTTTAATTTACATTAAACTGAAATGCATACACCAGAGTTCCTTTTGTTAGTGATGGTAATTTAATTTTACTGATGTTTTGTTGCATAAACATGGATTAATCTTAAAAAGAAGTCAACAAATACTTCTAAATAATCCAAAATGTACAACCATTAAATATACAGAGAATAACAGCACTGTTATCTTTGAATTAACAAGTTAAAAATAGACTTTTTGGAGAATAATTTTAGTGTGCACTGTTTCACACTGAGAAGTCAGGTACTTTTAAAGTAAGCTCATACATTTATGCAAAACAAAAAATATCTTAATTATGCCAAATACATTTTAATTTAAATATATAGAGCATTGTTAATTTAAATATATAGAGCATTGCTAGTCACAGGGATGTGTAAATGATGATTATTTTTGAGAACATGTTTCTCGTGAAGGGTTGTACCCTGAAAATTGGACATAGACTCTTCTGTGCAGATTTATTTCTGATGTACTTGCATGCATTTGTTTGTTTATTTATTAGTTTCAAACAATAAAACTGACAATTATTCACAATTTCCAGTAATGAGTTTTATTGTTTGAAAAGGTTAAAATATACACTTTTCATAGGCAACTGGAAAGAAAGAAAGAAAGAAAGAAAGAAAGAAAGAAAGAAAGAAAGAAAGAAAGAAAGAAAGAAAGAAAGAAAGAAAGAAAGCCTGTTAATTGTACCGGTTAAATTAATTCTGGTTGTAAATCCGCACAATGGACACACGGGGGCGGTCAACCCCAAAAGGTTAACAAAGAGGGGCAATTATTGGTGAGTTTGTTCTTGTTTGTTTCGAACGTGTCTCCTTTATTGTCCTTATTTTTATTCCCTCTGAGGTTTTCCCTTAGTTGGGATTATATAGTTTACTGTTGTAGTTAACAGGAAATTGTCCACTTATTCCCAGCTCGTTGGAGCACGTGCACGCTCGTGCGTGTGAAGAAATGTAGGAAGTACTTTCCGAGCAGCGCGACTCCGACGTAGACGTTAATCCTCCTGTTCTTAGGGAACAGTGATTTATAAGGATAAAAACACGAGAGGAACTCACTTTTTATTTCATGGAAAACACGTCTTAGGCAGTTAAGGGGGTTCACCTTTGTTTTGGACATTTTCACACAAGGATTTTTATTTATTTAGCATTTTCATTATTATTCTAGAGTTCGTTAGCGACGGACAGACACAGATATCCCCTCACCTCTTCCTATCGGCGTGTTTATCAACTTTTAAAGTTGAATTGAACGAAATTCCTCCACAGGTAAGACCTAATTCCACGTTTAGCGCCTGTTTGACACCTGCCACTGTTTCCTGTTAATCACCTGGATAGAAGTAAGTCTCTGGGAAAACGCTGCAGAAGAAATAGTTGCGGTGGTTTTGTTTATGCTGTAAGGAAACATCTTGTTGACGGTTGTGTCTTATCCTTGTGTGACTAGTGTCTAATGGGTCGTGAGTTATGCTGAAGCCATTCTCTGAGCATCAGGATGAGCACTACAACAAATGGAGCTGGGCCCCCTAAACAGGAAGGAGAGTCCCGTGTTGTGCAGGTCTACCTTAAGTTGTCCCCCGAGACAGAGACCCACTGTCCTCTGCAGGTCAGCATCAGGGACACAAGCAGGACGATCATCAACAATGCAGTGGTTACGCTTGGCTTGGACTCCAGCCTGATCTACAGACTGCTGGAGGTCAAGGACAATGAGAGCCAGGAGACGGTTCTGGACGATGAGGACAGTCCTCTACTGCGAGTCATGTTATGGCCTCCAGAAACTCAGAGGTGGCACCCTCGGAGCCAGGGGTACTACTTCCTCCTGCAGCGGCAGATCAACAATGAAGCAAAAGCAGTCAAAGAGGACTCTGATGACCTCTGCGACCTGTCCAGTGTGACACAAGAGAAGGTTCTTGAGGCTTTACGCCAACGCTTCTACAAATGCAAAATCTACACGTACATCAGTAACATCCTCATCGCCATCAACCCTAATAAGTTCCTTCCTCTTTACTACAACCCCAAGTATGTCAAGATGTACGAGAACCAGCCGCTGGGCCAGCTGAGCCCCCACATATTTGCCATAGCCGATGTGGCCTTCCGTACCATGCTGGACAGGCAGGCGAACCAATGTCTTGTGATATCTGGTGAGAGTGGCTCAGGGAAGACTGAAAGCTCCAATTACCTCATTCACTGCCTGACGTCACTCAGCCGGGGGACGTACTCCAGCGGACTGGAGAGGACCATCCTCGGGGCCGGGCCAGTGTTGGAGGTAGGTCACCGTGGCATGAATCCACTCGCATCAGGGTATAAAACTCCTACCTTTTTAGATGTGTGTGTGAGCAAAAAGTCAAAACACAAGTTGTAAAACAAAACATTTATTCTCATATCTTGGAGGCCAGAACCAGAGGTTTGGGTTTCGTGTTTTCAAAGCTGGTGCAGCCAAAAACAGCAGGTGCTGCTAAAATTTTTACTCGCAAAGTCAATCAGGGCAGTTATTTTTGTCAACTGCTGCAAAATATTTTACAGGTGTGGAACACTTGTTTAATCAAGGCATTTGCAATGGTCTTAAGTGGGAATGAATGCCATGTAGGTCGGGGGTGGGGGTGGGGGGGGGGGGGGGTGGGGTGTCAAAATTACTGGCGCACCGTTGGAACAAGAAGTAAGCCACATCACAGCTGAGCTTCAGACGGCAGGTTTTGGAGTCTAATTTCCTGATATTTGCACATCTCGCCCCGGATTGGATAACAGCAACGTGACTCTACCACTGACTTGAAGTTTGAAGGAGTTCTGCCGTGTGGTGGTGTTGCTAATGCAAATAGATAGCTAAACCAACAACAGCCTCCCCCGTTGCGAGCTAAGATGGGTGAGTCCATCAATATGAAGTGACAGTATGACATAGATCTGTCAAATCCTAGAGTTTAATTGTCTATTTTCTATCAGAAGCTAATGCAGGAGATAGGTGTAGGAGACTATTTTCATGTTCAGCCTGCATGAAAAACTCAGTGACTGATTTATAACCAGAAAAAAATCATAAAAATTGGGTTTTCAGTGTTCCACATCTTTAATGCAGCTTCTCGTGTACAAATGCAGCACTTAGAAATATTGAACATCCTTTTTTCTTTATATTTTTCATCCAATGAGTCAAACTTAGAGGAATCAGGGTCTTCTGAAAGTGTTTCAAAGTACTTTGAGGCAGTTTTTCTACCATAGGTTTATTTTTAGACGTCTTTTTTTTTTTGGTTCACAACGTGTCAATTTTCCTATCTTTTTAGCAAAAATAGCTAAATAATCAGAGTTGGTAATAAAAAGAGAATTTCTGATCAATTGAACTTTAACTCCTGATCCAAACCTGAAACTTCAAAATTTTACATTTTTTAAAAGACAAGTAAAAAATGCTTATGATAGACCCAAATGTGGGTTAAAACTTCAACATTCTGTATTTCATTGAGTGCCTTTTACATAGTAAATGAGGTATGCTATTACTACCGCTCTTTTTGTGCTTCCCAACCTAATTTAGCTGTGGTGGTCCTAATTTGTGTATATGCTGAAGAGGACTGCAGCTACTATGACACAAGACTTTGGTTTATTATTTGTAAAATGCAGCCATTTCAGTAAACACCTTCATCTTTTATCAAGGCCACTTCAAAACATTACAGGCAATTCTAACCTGCAGTTGTAGTTTAACTATCGATCAAAGCAAATAATCAGGGATTTGCTCAGGTTTGATAATTTCGCTACGGGGGAGGCTGTTGTTGGATTAGCTATCTATTTGCATTAGCAACACCACCATTGTTCAAATTCAAATATGTAGTTTCCCGTTGTGGGAACTAAACCCTGGTTTTTGTCTCTGCTAGATCTTATCACAGGTCTAGCTGGTGCTTCCATTATTCTTCGTTTCCAGTCAAGTGTACTGGACAGATTCTCTCTAAGCGTCATGTTTTTTTTTTTTGTTTATTTAAAACATCGAGTCTTTAGTTAACTTGGAGATCCTTCTTGTGGTTGAACAATGCTGAAAAACTTCTGCAGTTTATAGAGATTGTCTCATAAAATGTGTTTGCCTGAGTCATGATGGTGCACGTCGGCTGATCAACCGGTTGACGTGGGTGATCTTATTCAGTGTTGTTATTTTGTATGGAGGCTTAATTCAATTTTAATGACCTTGCGTCACATTCATATATTTTATTTAGACCATTTGATTGAAATCAGAAAGTTACTCAGTTAGATACCCCTTCTTTGTGCAGAAAAACAAATCTATCACGTTAACTGTTATTTGGAAGGTGCTTTAGTAGGAAATGCCTATTAGACAATTAGAGGTCATTTCTATTTTTATGGATTGTTTAGTCAGATTCACTTAAAGATATTTTCTATAAACCGGAAAGCACCAAAAGTCGAGCGTTGTGCATCACAGCAGAAAATTCATGTTTTAACACGTTTCATCGCTTTCACCGTTATCTGTGCCGCTCTTGTGGCTATCCCATCAGCCATGTTATCTGTGTCAATGAGTAACATGCACTATATTCACACTTGTTTCCCCATACTTTCTGTTTCACTCATCTGTTGCACAACCCCAAACTGATAACTGACATGAAATTGCGCCAAATGTTTGTTGTTTTTAAGGGAGCTACCCTCTTTGGATAAAGCTAAGAAGGTTGCTAATTCATGGTTTGAGTTTAACTGAAACCTGTGGGGATCTTTTCTTTTTTTTGGGGGGGGGGGGGGGGGGGGGGGGTTAAGGAATAGAGCTGCAAGTTGATTGAATTATTGGGTTTCCTCTTCAATCATGTGACTGGGGAACAAACTGTGGTAACAGTTTTATCAGCATATTTAAACAGTTCATGCAAATAGGGTGACAGAAAATGTCTGCACTTACCTGTTCAGAGATTACACACACACACACACACACACACACACACACACACACACTCATCAGGCATCAGGAATTAGATTAAAAAGGGATCCGGCTCATTTTTAAACTGGTTCTGCAAGTTTCCTCTCAAAACAAGTCACCACTTTAGTAGACTGAAAAGATTTTAGATTGTAAGGAACCATAAATTTATCGTTAAGTAGGTTTTTTTAATCAAACTGTTTCATTAAAAGCATTTTCTATCTTCTTTCATAAGACGTACTGAATGTCTGCCATTTTGTTGTTTTCATTTTCTTTAGCTGAATGACTCACTGAGGGATCAGTTCCTAAATCAAAACTTCTTGTTTCGAATCTCGGTTTTAGCTCTCTTGTCATCATGTTCCACATATTTTGTCTAAAAGAATTTCTGCCACCTGTGTTGTGTGCCCATTTAGTTTCTGCTTTAGTTTGGCGCCTGCGACGGTGAAGCTCCATGAGGGAATGTTCAGGGCGTTGTCTGTTAGGGAACACCGGTAAGAATAGAGAGAAGCAGAAAGGAGTCGGAACAGGCTCGGTCACAGGCTCGGTCAGGTCTGCAGACGGAGCTACACGACAAAGAAAAATCACAACATTTCTCCCTCTTCTCTCTTTGTCCACTTGTTTTATCAAAAATGTTTGGTGGTTTGAGTGCTGTGTTACTGTAACAATATGTTATTTTAAAAAAACTATAAGATTATTACCTTTTGCATGATATAAACTAGCACATTTTAAACAGTAAATGACATATGAACACCTGACACAGATGTAGATTTTTATTTCTGTATTTTTTTAGCTTTATTTTAGTAAAAATATTCATTTATTTCTTTTTGTTTATTGCATTTGGTTTTATCATATCCCAGTTTTTAAAGATTTACTGTGCAAATAACAAATATAGATCAAGCAATTCAGAATGGAATATAATTTAGCATTTATTCAATTGATATTTTTTATGTTGATTTTTATTTAATTTCTTTTTTATATATTTTTGACTGACACCCATCTTATAAAGGAGAGCTTCCTGGACTCAACGTAAGTTGGTTTGGATGGAAAGATTCAGTCGAAAAAAGTTTATTTGACTGCCTGACGTAGGCTACATTGCTGAAATGCGTAGGAGTTTTTTTTAAAGGCCACATGTGACCTAGCCAGTACAATAAAGGCTTTTTAACTTTTTCTATTTGAGAGTGCCTTGGAGTTTTTCTTGATTTCTGACACCCATCTTAGTTTGTAGACTTCATAATTTGGCCTATCTGACAGTGCTGTTAATGATTCATCACTTACTTCCTCTTTCACACTCCTGTTCCTGAATGGTGTACCCCAGGGCTCTGTACCTGAACCTCCTATTTTACCCATTGTGCCTCTGTACTTATCACTGGCTTAGGTACTAGCATCACTGCTCAATAAAAGCTGCAGCTGACTTACCCCCTCAGTCACAGATTAACTCACTGGATTATTTTTATTATAAATTCATAAAACGGTCTGATCCCCTCCTATCTGTGTATTTATATGCAGTGTGGCCACAACTATCATGGTGAAAGCACCAGTTGTGTCCTCTGAATGTTGCTCCTGGAGTGAAAAATGTGTTTTAACTCTGCTGCCACATTTTATTGGAATATAGGAGTGGAACTTTTCAGGACTGATTTTGTTACAGAAACTTAAAGGGGCATTATGGAAGTTTGACAGCCAAAACATGTATAGAAATAATACATTTCTTCTTCATACATTCTCCTGCAATGCCCTGGTCCTGTAGAATGAGTCCTGGCATTTTTACTGTGATTGCCTGTTTTTCTGTAAAATCAGCGAAAAAGAGCTGCTCGGGTCGAGCAGGCTGCTTCATGCGCATTCACTCTCAGGCATAGCCCGTAGCATTTGCTATCAGTAGCTTTAGCAGCAGAGAGTGAGGTAGTGCCAACTCAGCGACTTTGTCGCTGTTCCTAACACCTAGTGATGAACCTAGCTACATTTCTGAGGACCTTTAGCTACTTTCTTCTAGATATTTCCTGCAAATTAGCAACAAAATAGCCATTTTTGCTCTGAACCGTTCTTTGAACGTTATTTCAGCTGTCATCAAGGATATAAAAGTTACAGATACAAAACACATAACTGGTGTTATAGCTCATCTGGTAAGACGTCGGACTGTTGTGCAGAAGGATCGGGGTTCAAATCTTCATGCGATTATGGTTCTTTTAGACTTTCTTTTTTACATTAATGGTATATTTTTTTTACAGTAAGATGCCCAAATTTTTATTTGAGACTCGCCAAACGCAATGAATTCACAGATAAAAAAGATGTGGGTTCAACTTTCATTTTGGAACAATTTTTCAAGCAAGGGAATTGAATGATCTGAGCATGCAGGAGGACTGACCCATCATAAACCTTTGTCAGCTGTGCTGAAGAGAAAGGTACAGAACCAAATTATTTAATTAATTAGCTGCGTGTTCTCCTGTCCTCTGTCCTCAGGGACACACACACACACACACACGGGACTGTCTCAGCTGTTATTTTCGTTAAGGAGTGTGCACGTACAGCATGCGCGCCTCGTGCACGAGCCTACTATTGAAGCTGCCGTTACGCTTTTGGCCTGAGGGGGCAATCGCAAGCATAAAAATTCAAAACTCCATAAAATCCCTTTTAAATTCCTTCTAAATCTTAAGATATTAGCACTCTATTTAACTTAGCTGCTTTAATCCTTGAAACTGTTCATCTTTGTCTAAATTTTAAATCTTATCTCATTATGTGCGCGCGCACACACACACACACACATATAGAGGGATTTGTAAAATATTGTTAGGTCTGACTTTGACTCACTGATAAGTCAAAAATCTAGATTAGAACTAATCCCTGCCTCAGTGCTCTAATCACCTGTTCAACAGGTCCTCCATGGATTCAAATCTGGTGAATGAAGTGGAGATACCTCTAAAACGTGCAGGATGGTGGCCCTCGAGGACCAGAATTGGACACAGATGCTTTAAAGAAATCCCAACTGTAACCTTTATGACCATACACGGTCATAATTAATCTTTTTATCAACTTATTTTGGATTTATTGTTTTAAAGATGCTCAAAAAAATCCCAAACATTGCAGAGAAAACTTTGACATTTCTTTTTAAATTATATTGGTAGCTACAAGTTGTAATCACATTTGTGATGTGCCAGCATTGTTATTGATTATTGATACATTTCTGGTGTTGACAACATGGTTGAAACTGTTGACTCTTAATTCTATTCACTTAAATGTCTTTAAACTAACATTTGTGGAATCTGAATGATCTTTTACATATTCTCCAATAAATAAAAGAAACCATTCCTATTGATCCAAAATCAAAGGAATTTATTTTGATGACTCACTTGTGCATTGTGTATGAAGGGCCAGAGTCTGTAGAAACATGTCTTTAACTTGAAAATTTTTGTTCATTTTAATTGAAAATTGTTTCTTCTGTATTTAACAGGCCTTCGGAAATGCAAAGACAAAAGAGAATTACAACTCCAGTCGTTTTGGAAAGTTCATCCAGCTGAATTACCTGGAAAGTGGCGTCATCAGAGGGTAATGTGTCACATCCTCTTCAAGTCACAAACTTTCTGGGACCATTTAAGGAATCTTAAATGTTCTGCTCCAATATTTCACTATTGAACTCTTTACTGTGTCATAATTTTACTTTGTTACAACTTTGCAGGTCACCCTGAGGGTGACCTGAGGGTGTGTTCCAACTATAGGGGGATCACACTCCTCAGCCTCCCTGGAAAGGTCTACTCCAAGGTACTGGAGAGGAGGGTCCGATCGATAGTTGAATCTCAGATTGAGGAGGAGCAATGTGGTTTTCGTCCTGGCCGTGGAACTGTGGACCAGCTCTATACCCTTACAAGGGTGATGGAGGGGGCATGGGAGTTTGCCCAACCAATCCACATGTGTTTTGTGGATTTGGAGAAGGCTTATGACCGTGTCCCCAGGGGCACCCTGTGGGGGACGCTCCAGGAGTATGGGGTGGGTGGCTTTCTGTTAAGGGCCATTCAGTCCCTTTACCAGAGGAGCGTGAGTTTGGTCCGCATAGCCGGTAGTAAGTCGGACCTGTTCCCGGTGAGGGTTGGACTCCGCCAGGGCTGCCCTTTGTCACCGGTTCTGTTCATTACCTTTATGGACAGAATTTCTAAGCGCAGCCGTGGTGTGGAGTGTGTCGAGTTTGGTGGCAGGAGAATCTCGTCTCTGCTTTTTGTGGATGATGTGGTCCTCCTAGCTTCATCCAGCTCTGACCTTCAGCTCTTGCTGGGTAGGTTCGCGGCCGAGTGTGAAGCGGCTGGGATGAGGATCAGCACCTCCAAATCTGAGACCATGGTTCTCGACCGGAAAAGGGTGGCTTGCCAACTCCGGGTCGGGGGAGAGGTCCTACCTCAAGTGGAGGATTTTAAGTATCTCGGGGTCTTGTTCACGAGTGAGGGTAGGAGGGATCGGGAGATCGACAGGCGGATTGGTTCGGTGTCTGCAGTGATGCGGACGCTGAGCCGATCTGTCGAGGTGAAGAGGGAGCTGAGCCAGAAAGCCAGGCTCTCGATTTACCGGTCGATCTACGTCCCAATCCTCACCTATGGTCATGAGCTTTGGGTAATGACCGAAAGAACGAGATCGCGGATACAAGCGGCCGAAATGAGTTTCCTCCGTAGGGTGGCTGGGCTCACCCTTAGAGATAGGGTGAGGAGCTCGGACATTCAGGAGGGACTCGGAGTAGAAACGCTGCTCCTCCGGATCTAAAGGAGCCAGTTGAGGTGGTTTGGCCATCTGGTCAGGATGCCTCCTGGACGCCTCCCTGGGGAGGTGTTTCGGGCATGTCCTGCCGGCAGGAGGCCCCCGGGTCCACCCAGGACACGTTGTAGAAGTTACATCTCCAATCTGATCCGGGAACGCCTTGGGGTCCTGCCGGAGGAGCTGGTGGAGGTGGCCGGGGAGAGGACAGTCTGGAGCTCCCTAGTTGGGATGCTGCCCCCGCGACCCAGACCCGGACCCGGATAAGCGGAGGAAGACGATGACGACGACAACTTTGCAGGTTCTGTTTATGTTATCCTTTGTGTGTCTTTTGCAGGGCAGTTGTTGAGAAGTTTCTTCTAGAAAAGAGCCGTCTGGTGTCCAGAGATAAAAGTGAGAGGTAAAGTGAAACGTCAGGATCACATGTTGAATTAGTTAAAGATGATAAAGTTTATCTCTTACTGAATCTCTACGAATAAATCACAATGTTGCCATAGAAACACAACTTTGTGTGTGTGTGTGTGTGTGTGTGTGTGTGTGTGTGTGTGTGTGTGTGTGTGTGTGTGTGTGTGTGTGTGTGTGTGTGTGTGTGTGTGTGTGTGTGTGTGTGTGTGTGTGTGTGTGTGTGTGTGTGTGTGTGTGTGTGTGTGTGTGTGTGTGTGTGTGCGTCTGCTCTGTCTTCTCCATCCCCAGTGAGTCGTGGTGGATGGCTGCTTATACTGAGCCAGGATTCTTTGGAGGTTTCTTCCTGTTAAAAGGGAGTTTTCCTCTCCACTGTCACTAAATGCTTGCTTAGCATGAGGATTGCTGTAAAGTCACTGATACTAGTCAGTGAATCTGCTGGGTTCCTTATATAGGAAGCTTTTTACTGATTGGCTTGATGAACTGACCTGTATTAGAATGTTTACTTTGTGAAGCACCTTGAGACAACTCGTTGTGATTTGGCGCTCTATAAATAAACTGAATTGAATCACTGCTGACTTATTATAGTCCAAAATTGCTGTGTAAAAATAAATTCCCTGACCCACAGGAACTTCCATGTGTTCTACTATCTGCTGATGGGTGCGCCCAAAGAGGAGCAGGAAGAGTTTCATCTGTTAAAGTCACAGGATTATCTCTACCTCAGCCAGGTACCTTTTGATTCATGTGCCTCTGCATACAGGAAGTGAACAGCATTTTGAACATGCACACATTATCTAATGAGGGAAAATCCAGTGGGCAGGGGAAATCCTCAGCAGTGACATCTTGATTAATTTTTTATGCAGACATTTAATAATAGTTTTCAACAAGTGATGGTTTAAAGGTGTGGAACACTAAAGAAACCATTTATAAACTCTTATTTCTGATTATGATCTGTAACTCTTGAGTTTTTTTGTGCAGGCTGAACACGAAAGTAGTTTTCTGGACCGATCTCCCGCATTATCTTCTGATAGAAAATAGACGGTGAAACTCGAGGATTACCTGACAGATCTACATCACACTGCCACTTAACATTCATGCACTCACCCATCTTGACACGCAATGGGAAAGGCTGTTTTAGTGTTCAGGAAACAGCAGAGAGCATCTCAGCTAGTTTAAGCAAACCATTAGCATTAGCAACACCACCACACGGCTGAACTCCTCCAGGCTTGTGTTGATTGTGCAGATAAAACATCCACGTTACAAGTTAGTGGTAGAGTTGTGTTACTGTTATCCAGTCCGGGGCGAGATGTCCACATATCAGGAAATAAGACTCCAAACCTGGTGATGTTGTGCTACCCTCTGTAGCAGCATGCTGATCCAAGCATTTCTGGGCTTTTTTTGCCCCGAGTACAGCTTACAAGGCATCCATTCCTACCAGAGACCACTGCTAAATTATTGATTTAGTGAACCACACCTTTGACTAATAACTGGCTGCCTTATGCTAACATGGGATAGCGATGCTGTAACTCTTTATGTGAGGCATCGATCAAGCTTCAGTTTCCCGTTACAGATGGTCCAAAACGTCGCTTCCCGGGTCAAAACGCAGCTTCCTGGATCTTGACAAACACTAGGAAAAGTGATCGCATTTCCTCAGTGCTGGCTGCACTTCATTGCATCCATGTTTGGTTACGGATGAATGTTAAAATTCTTTGATTTATATACAAGGGCCTGAATGGGGCCTGTTGGTCTTATCTGGATACAGTTTAGGAGATGTGTGAAAGGAGGATGGTGGTGAAGATGACCTTCATCTTAAAAAAAATATCTCCCACCCACTGCATTCCACTGTGGAGACCATGGACAGCTCCTTCAGGGGAAAACTGAGACATCCCAGATGTAAAACAGAACGCTACCGTAGGTCATTCATCCCCTCTGCAGTAAGAGTGTATAACACACCAGACACGGAAACACGATGAAGCGCCATGTAACGACAAGTGCTTCTATCGGTGCACTTGTTAACCTACGCTCTCTGTCACATCAGCTAGGAAGCGCCACAAAGGCTCGCGCCATGCAGCTATCGTTTCGGCGTGAGCTCTATTTTTTTCGTGAGCTGTAAGTGAGCCACGCCAATTCTGGCAGGAAGTCAAACCAAAGCAGAGAGGCAGGTCGTTGAATTTAACAAAATAAAAGAAAATTTTCAACATAAAACACCCCGATTGATAAATGTGATCATTTTTGTGTATCTAAAAGACTATAGAGATGAAAATGAACAAACACACACACACACACACACACACACACACACACTCCTGCAGAGAAACACAACATTTTCATAATTTTAAATGCAGCTTTAACATCAAAAGATGGATTTAATAAATGTGAATACAAACAAATACGTTGAAATTAAAGGTAAATATACAACAGTGTTGTACACTACAACAAACACTAGTTATTTACCTAACCATTTAGAAAGGAACTGGTCTACAAAACAGCAGCACGATCAGCGCAGTTTCTGATTCAACAAGCAGGGCAAACTGGTTTTACACACACACACACACACACACACACACACACACACAGCAAGGGCACAGGGGTGGGTTGGAAGTTTGGAAAACAGTAGGCGTGAGCAGAAGCACTTGTTGAAAATTCTCGCCTCAAGTGAACAGAGGAGCGGGCAGTGCACGAATTTCGTGAATGATCCACTTCGCAGCTGGTGTGTTCTGGGCATAACTCCTCAGTTTAAGCTGTACTGCCATTATCTTGGTACACATTAACATCAATGCAACACTCAGTATGTGTTCAATACTTGTGCAATGCTGGATTCACATAGTATGTCTGTCCCTTATGCTGCATAGTTTTGGAACCCAAGTTTAACTTTTTATTCTTGGTTTTTTAGTGGTCGAAGAGTTGATGGAATATGCATTTTTATTTATTAGCTTTATAGTCATACAGAGTAATTTGCAGATCTGTTTTATGATGTGGTTGCTTTTACAGTTTTTTTGTTTGTTTGTTTGTTTTTTTTGTTTGTTTTAACATAGTTGTTACTATGTTGTGTAGTGTGGAGCGCTTTGGGCTATCTTGGTTGGTAGTAAAACAAAAAAAGCTATTTACATAAAATGAAGATGCTCATTTGATCTGCAAAAGTCTGCTAATTCTTTAGAGTTTATTCTGGTGGTCACCTAGACATTTGATGTATTTTTTTAGAAACGAGTAATTTCCTTAGCAAGATCTGTGCGACAATTACATTCTTGTTATAGCTTCACAGTCGGAGGAAACGGCTACCTGAAGCTGTGGTTTTGCTGTCTTATGGTGTGTGGGCAGAAGTTGTAACTTTCAACGTGTTTTGCAATAGATCAGAGAGAGTTATTATTGCTATTGAGGCTTTACTAAACCAAAAAAAAAAAAACTTTCACTTTCTACATTTAAGAGGTCAAAAATCTAGCAGAGATCTTTTACTTCCTGGGGAGTTCAAGCTGGTGTGTTCTCAACTCTAGAAAATGGTTGAAAATTGAAGAATTATTGGGTCATCTGTAAAAGCTACTATAAAAAGCTTTGAACACACTCATCAGAGCCGTTCTGGATTCATAAATTTCTTTTTGGTAGCCGTTTGATAACCACGGTTGAAGCATCTCGGTCAAATTTCCAGCTAAAGGTCAAAATATGTTTGTTTCTGCATTAATATGCAAACAATTTAGGTTGACTTAGTAATCCAGATCCATGCATGGTGGTTACTAACAGTGTTTTCACTCTTTGAATATCTTTGTTGGGCTTTCTGCAGAAAGACCTCAGTTCAGATGCTGAAGAGAAACTTGGACAAGAGTACAAGAGGCTCCATCAAGCCATGGAGATGGTGGGATTCTTGCCTTCCACAAAGAAACAGTATGTGCACCTGTAATAATACATGTGCTTTATGACTCGGTGAATCACTTTGTTCAGAAAATGCCTTTCATCTGTTTTTTTACCCCAATTTATAAAAATGTTTGGAGATCTGTTGGCACATGCCTAAATGTTTAATTAACACTTTCTTCATGTAGGATCTTCACCACTTACTGAGCGTGCACATTTATTTACCTGCACTGCAGATACAGTGGTCCACATGTGTGTGATCTACCTGAACACTGTCAGGTAGTTTCTGCTCTCATGCTGGTGTCTGTAACAGGTCAGAGCTTGTCGTGTCGAGCAGGAAAAAATGGTGCACACATTTTAGCCTTGGGGCACAACGTGCTTATGAAAGCACCAGCTGCATAGTTTATAACCTGTTCAGGTGAAATACTCTTGGGAAAACCATCACATGGCAAAGTGAAGCTGGAAACATTTATTAGACTTTTGTTCTTAATAAAGAGCTGTGTGGGTTAGTTATGAACAATGTTGCAAAAAGTTGAACATTTAACATGTACTTTTTTCTTAGAATTAGCTAATTAAACTAAATTTGGGAGCACATTTACTGTTCAACTGTATATTTTACTTCCCAGATATTGATAATTAGACTTCAATTTATAAAAAGTCCACCAGTTATAAGTTGCAATGACTTTTTTAAGCACTAGAGGTCCTCGTGGTTGTCTCTACAGCCAGTGTAAAAAATTGTTTGATTCTGAAATAGTAATTAGGAAAGTTGGGAAAATGAATAAAGATCTGTAAACAACACCAGGAGGAAAATGTTTTTTTACGAATCAAATAAATAAAAGTGTAGGAATATTTATTGGAGCGTTAGTGTCACGTTCAAGCAGTTATTCCATCTCAGCACCAGGAGTAAAAAACAAATGAAAATCACAAATCAGGATGACTTTGTACATATTGTTGTGCCTTTTAAAAATCTCTTATATTTCTGTCTGTCAGACTAAAGTTATTATCATATATCAAACGGCTGCATCACAGTCCAACATTATTTCTCTATGGTGTTTGTGTTGTCTCAATTAAACCGTTCAGTTGTGTTCATTTTCAATATGCAGCATATTCTCCATTGTCGCTGCCATCCTGCATTTGGGAAATGTGACATTCACGCATTCAAAGAGTACACAGGTCCTGGAGGCTGGACCTGCAAACGTTTTATCCACACTATCAAACCTGCTTAAGGTGAGATTTAAAATGTACACGTTGCTGTTATACTTTGGATTTCTGGCTTTGGATCAGAGGAACTAAATCTTCGGAATTAGGACAAAAGGAAATTTTAAAAAGTAGGGATGGGATTTAATACGTTAAATACCATTACTTAGGAAATAAATAATTGCGTTATTGAGCCTGAGCGTCCCCAAATTGGGAGCTGTAAAAGGTTCCATGTCTATTTACACATCATCAAAACACATTTATTAATATTTACACGTCCCAACAAATCCTCAGTGGTTACCTTTATGAGACCAAAGTAATCAAATAGACCTTGTGGTTACATAAACATACTCATTAAAGTGTGGGCATGTCATCTGTGCCTCACTGATATTTTTGATTAAAAAAATTTCTTGGGTGCAAATTGTCTTGAATGATTAAATGCGATTAGTCAAGATTATTTTTTACAAAGCCTCTAATTAATTAGATTAATTTTTTAATCGAGTCCAGTCCCAAGTTTGTTTCTTTCTTAATTTGTTTTCTGAATGCATTTTCTAGATAAAAAAGGAACTACTGGTGACGACTTTGACTAAGAGGAAAATGGTGATGGCTAACTCTACCATAGTTTCTCAGTACACGCTACAAGAGGTATTTGGTTAGAATCTGATATTTGCAGAATTAAAATCAGTTTTATAGCAACTACATGTTTCATTTATCTTAATTCCTTCATCAAATTTAGTTGACTTTTTGAAAACTTAGAAAGCATTTGTGGTTTCTTTTGCTTTTAGGCAGTTCTAAAGCGGGACTCTATGGCCCAGTCTTTATACAGTGCTCTGTTTGACTGGATCATCCTTCATATCAACCACGCAATGCTCAACCGACGAGACATGGAGGAGTCCGTCTCAGTGAGTCATCTGATTTCATTCATTTGCAGTAAAAAATATCAGGGTTTGTTGCATTTTAACAGCCACTGTTGTGTTTTCAGTGTTTGTCCATTGGTGTCTTGGACATGTTTGGGTTTGAAAACCTCAAGACAAACAGTTTTGAGCAGCTGTGCATCAACTACGCCAATGAGAAGCTGCATTGTTACATCAACAAACACATCTTTGAGCTTGAGCAAGTATGTCTATTAAAAAATTGCAACACACTTTCTTTCTTTAATGATCCATTCTTGAATGTACTATTTTGGACCTTCCAGGAAGATTACCTGTCAGAAGGCATCATCTGGCTGAACATTGACTTTATCGACAACAGCGGCTGCATCCAGCTGCTCAACAACAAACCAGTCGGACTCTTTGGTTTGCTGAATGAGGAGAGCAGGTAACTTGACTGTGAAAACTTGTACACTGAAAAAAGCTGCACTTATATAATTTCTAAATAATATGGAACCATTTTATTAATGGTGAAGTAGGCTTTGTAGTGTAATAAAATCAAATTTTAATTTGTTCTGTAGATTATTTAAACTGTGTGTAATTAGATGTTAATCTGTTCAAGTCTCCATTTAAAAAGTAAAAGTCATGTAAGAACCTGAAATCACAGCTAAACAATCCTGGGTCTCATCAAGATCTACAAAACCCAGAAAACATGGTCGTAATCTGTAATTTAGTCTGATTGAATGTCCTTTTCTTTGTGTTTGTTAGTTGTCCTCGGGCCACAGATGAAGCCACTTTGAGCAAATTTAAGCAGCATCATCAGGACAACCCGTTCTTTGTAGCCTCTCCAAATAAAGAGCCAACCTTTGTGATCAAGCACTACCCTGGAGGAGTTAAATACAACATCACGGTAAATTAGCCACATCCTTTTAAGTAACGGTCAAACTGTCTCTCTTTATTCAGTTTTGTCCCCGAATTTGGACTTTCTTTGTAGGACTTTAGAAAGAAAAACACTGAACACATGCGTCCTGAAGTGGTGTTTCTTCTACGGAGCAGTGAGCGCTCATTCCTGCATCACCTGGTTGCATCCAGCCCAGAAGCCTTGTTTAGATGGGGAATCCTCCGAGCCACCATCCGTATTGTCTCCGTGTTTAAGAAAATGGGGCGAGCAGAGCTATGTAAGTAGCTTAAGGTGTTTTTTCAGCTAAAAGAAAATATCAGTTTTAATCTGCTTCTGTTTTTCATATAATAACTTACGTGTTGAACTGTCTCCTCAATAGCCGCAAGACAAAGCTCTCCCATGTCTCTCAAAGACGCAAAACAATACAAAAACCAGATAAGCAGACTATCCAGGTATTTTTTATACCCAACTTGTTAAAACAAGTGAAGTTTTCTTCATAAGTAAAGTATTAACCGTCTATTTGCTAAAACCAAATGAATATTCTGATTCCAGCAGCAACAGCATGACTCTGGATTTCTCATTTGATCACTCTGATGAAAATCCACCAGATTTCCTCCAAGACATCTTTGCCGATTATGAACTGAGAAAGTAAACGCACTAGAAGACTTTTCTTTCACAAATCTATATGTGTATACATAAATATACATGTTTTTCATACTATAATTTTTTTATTTGTCTGCACAGATCTTCGTTGGTTTAATCATTTTTTTTGTGGCTCTTTTTGCAGTAAAAATCAAGGCAGTCGAAAGAAGCAGATCATTCCAAAGGTAAGGTGGCGTGGGAGTTCCGTGCGTCCAAATGTCCGTCTGTTTCATAATATCTGCAGACTTACTTGTTTCGTCCAACAGAACCTCATGAATTTGTGTTCACTCAAACACATCGTTGGTCTCACGGAGCATGACAGAACCGGCAAGTCCATCTTCCACCCTCAGGGACGAGAAAAGCCTCCTACAGTCAGCACTCAGTTTCAGGTCGTTCACTCAGTTCCTTTTTGTAAATATTAGGGATGCTCTGATCCGATCGCGTGGTCATAAATCGGGTCAGATAACGTAATTTTCAGGAAATTGGAATTGGGTGGGAAAAATCGGATTTGACCATTTCAAACAACAAACTTTACTTTTTAAATTCAACCTGAGAACGAGATTTTCAAACGGAAAAACAATGGCTTAGATTTTAATTGAACAAGTTCCTCTACATCAGTGTTCTTTGTTTCACAGATGAGAACACCCTAAGTCCCACAATTTAAGTGGGAATTCACACTCCATAACATGTAGCAGTTAGCCAACACAGAGCATATTTGTCACCTCAAGAGAGGGAAAATATGTGTAATATAGATGCATTTGTAAATGAACAGCAAAGGGAGTGTATTAAACACGTGTAATGTTTAACGAGGTGGAGAAGATAGTGCTACATTTAACACTGATGCGCCACCTTTAAAAAAACTTACCCATATACACCTCATCAACATACACTAACACTGTATTGGAGCAGGCGGAGGAAGACCAGGGGTCTTGGCACACCTCTGTTGTCGCTTGGCTTCCCGGTGCTGGAGGCTAGGAGGGGGAGCTGGCCGTCTGGTTGGATTCTGGACTGGTGGGTTGCTTTGCTCAGCGTTTGGCGGGGGGTGCCTGCTCATCATCACCCCAGCACCCCTGCTCAGTTCACTGCAGCAATTCAGTTAAGCCAGCCGACAGTTGCAGTAGGATCTGCTTTCATTCTCCTCCTACCTTTACAGATGCAGCAGCTCTACAGGTGCTTTGTAGAAAAGTTACTCTGCTGCTGACCGTCGTGCCGTGCCATCCCATCCCTGTCACTGAAAACAGCCTCACACTGAATAAACGATTGAAAAATATGAGCAACAAGTCAACTTTTACATTTATTCTTAATACTAACATGTTTCTTATTAATATACTTCCTAAACAAGTGATGTTTTATGAGAAATACACTAAAGAGATGACATACAGAAAGGAAGAAACTGATTAATGATTAAAAATAGGGCTGCACGATATTAGGAAAACCTGCGATATGCAATAACAGTGATTAATATTGCAATGGCGATATTACTTGCGATAAATAAAAACTTAACAAAAATAATCAAAAACCAAGAAATTAAAAAATTACTACAAAATTATAAAAATGACAAAAGCTAAAGATGTGAGGAAATGGAAAAAGAAAATGAACAAGAAAAGGTAATCAGTGGGCCCCGGGAAAAGCAGAATCAGCAGAAAGAGCAGAACAAAGCTAACTCGGGTGTTTGCTAACCATCAAAATTAAGTGCCGTCCGCCTCGGGGGCGGGCATCTAACCAATGAGAACCCACCCAGTTGGCCAAATGGGTGAAGAGCTCTATTCGATTTGTTAAAAAAAGCATCATGCCTCTTATTAGATTAACAGAATGCATTATGTGTAGCAAACATTTGAGCTGACAATTCATTGCGATATTTATGTTCTTTGTGATATGCATATTGCACAAGCTGATATCGCAATAATTATATATTTGCGATATATTGTGCAGCCCTAATTAAAAATAACTTAAAGGACAATTCTAGTTTGTTCTCCTTTTTTTAAAATACATATCTAAAGTATCGGGTTGGGTAGATTCTTAAAATCAAAGGACTCTGGATCAGATCAGGAGCAAAAAAAATATGATCGGAACATTCCTAATAAATAATGCAGTTTTTGATTCTTATCCAATGGCTTAAATCATGTTTACATCTTGCAGGCCTCCCTCGGAAAGCTGATGGACATCATCGAAAAAGCAGAGCCTTTTTTTATTTTCTGTCTTCGCTCCAACGCTGAGAAGGTAATGCTATCTGTACATCTGCTGCAGCATCCTGCTACGTTTAGTTTTAAGCATGCACAGTGACCTGGAAATGATAAATAACAGAAAGGTTGTCTTGTTGTAGAGGGAGCTACACTTTGATGATGATGTTGTGCTGAAACAAATCAAGTACACAGGCCTGCTGCAGATGATCGACATGCAGAAGTCTGGCTACAGAGCTAAATACACATTAAAGGTAGGTGGGTAGTTGTTTCACTTGCGCAGTACATGCAGATTTTTTTTCTCTTATTTGGTTAAATGTTAATGTTTTTCCTTTTTGACAGGACTTTGCTGAGAAGTTTTGGATTTTGCTTCCCAAAGGAACCAGTGGATCTCCACAGCACATAACTGAACTGTTTGAGAGAATGAATTTGAATACGACCACCTATCAGATAGGAAAAAACAAGGTTAATCATGTCTTCCTTTTGTGCAGTGTGTGTGCAGCTAGCCATGTATAAAGTCCTTGTTTTTTTACACTTTGACTTGAATAATCATGTCAATTTAGACGTTTAATCTATTTTTTTACTGTTCTGCATTAAATTGTATATATTGGTACATTTTCATGATACATAGAATGATGTAGGGCTGGGCGATGTGGCCTATAATCAATATCACAATATATTGAGCATTTCACCTCAAATCGATAACAATAAATGGACGATAACTACAGGTATGTGCAGAAACAAAAGTTGACCACTAGATGGGGCTGTCACGTGTATTACATGAGACTCAAGGTGGTACAGCTTCTTAAAGGGACATGAAGTTGCCAACCTACACACATCTTTTCTTTTTTATTTTCAGATTTATGGACATGGGAATAATTATCTTGATAAGTCAGAAATTTTGATGTTGATAAATTTTCGATTTATTGCCCAGCCCTAGAATGATTTCACAAATCAGATGTTTTCTGCTGATTCCACAAAAGCAGTCAAATTAATTTAGAAAAAGTAATGAAGACTTTACTCTTAAAATGCGATTTATTTTTTGTGTCGATTTTTATTTTGTTCAGGTTTTTCTCAAGGATAAGGAACGACTGTTGCTTCAGGAGACTCTTAACAAAGAAGTGATGCGTCGCATCGTCACCCTGCAGCGCTGGTTCCGTTCCTGCCTCATCAGATTTCACTTTCTGCAAAAGAAAGATGCCACAACGCTCATCCAGGTGCAGCTCGTTTCTTTGTTGCCACAACCAGATAAAAATTTTGAGGAACAAACTATTTTAATACAGCACCACTCAAGTGAAATATCATGAGGCGCTTCACAAGAACGAAATAAAAATAATTTAAAATATTTTAAAATAAAATAAAAATAAGGAAAACATGGAAAAAATGTTTGAATGTGAAGAAAAAATTAAAACAAAATGTTTTATTCATGTTGAAATGGTCTCAAATGGATAACATAGCTCCCTTTTCCTAGAAAAAAATGGATGCTTCCTATTTAATTTACGTCATTAATCCATAATCCACAAATCTAAGCATATTTAAATAGGTCAATGTTAAAATGGTTTTATTTGGAGCACCAAAATTGTGTAATAAAAGTAAGGCAATCTATGAAACTGCAGAAAAAGAAAATAAACAGGCTACTGCAGAGGACCAGTCTCACTTCAGACCTCAACCTGATTGAAAATCTGTGAAAGGAGAGTTTTGCATGAATCTGCAAGCCTCTGTAAACTAAAGCGATGTCAAGTATTTATCTGTAAAGATCAGAGACATTAGAGGGTCAAACTATGATCTGGTGTGTAAAATGTAAAGATTTGATGCTCATCAGGGGTTGGTTTTATATCTGGAGAGAATTGATTATATTTTTTGCAATTTTCTGAAATTTAAAACCGTTAAATAATTGTGATTACTGCAGCTGTGCACCAATCCACTGCCTAACAGGTTTTGGTTGTTTCTTAAACCCACAATGTTATAAAACACCAGCAATATTTTTCATTGTGAGATCTGATTGATGATGATCATTAATTCAGTCGGTAAAACATTCTGGGGTTTTTTGTGTGTTTGCTCATTTATTGCACAAAGCAAAACAAAAGGTTCTGCAGACAGCGTGAATATTGAGAACAATGACCAAACAAATAAGTACCTTTGGTTTTTCAGCGGAGCTGGCGGGAGTTTTACGAGAAACAAAACCGAGCTGCAACAGTGATCCAAACGGCGTGGAGCACTTACCGACAAAGGGCTAAAATCTGTGAAAAGGAGGACAAAGATGGCTCTTGGGCTCGAACCAGGCAAGTTGCATAGACATACTTCAGCTAAGTTAAAAACAAATTCCCTACAGTTTTTAAATGAAAACAAACAAACTTTTATTGACTGCAGCTTTAAAGTGTTTTACTTTGAACATGTGTGAGTCTGCACTTTGCAGCTGATGTAATGTTTTACACTCAGCAAATCTTTCCCTGGGCGTGTCAAACCTGGTGGGCAGGTAGGATATTATTAGTATTTAAAGGAATAAGTCAAAGTCGAGAGGTTGTTTTCAGAAACCTGGAATAAAAATCCAGGTTTGGTCAACACAACCAGTCTTTGCTTCACCATAGATGTGGGTAGTTTTAAGCAAGTGACCCCAGAAGGGCCCTCTGGTGGCAGAAATGAGCATTTCTGACCTTTGATTGTACTTTTAATTTATCCTGCATAGAATTTTAGTACACTTTATTATATTAGACCACTGAAAAGTAGAATTGCATCAGAATTTAACAAACCACGTAACATTTCTTCTTTGTTCTGGAGTCCCACATTTTCGCTAATTCTGCCTTTCTTACATTTATTTTATGACTTGATTATTTTTACATCCTGTATGGTCTTTTATTAATAAACATTAGATGATTGTTTCATCCAGGTCAAATCCATTTAATAACTGTTAGTTTGTTTTTAGAAAGGTAAATGGCCAATTTAGTCTCTAATTAAACTGTATCAATCGAATAATTGTTGGTGTGAAATTGTGGAATGAGTTAGATGATGATTTGAAGAAATGTACATCTTTACTAAAGTTTAAAGCAGGTGTCAAGTGTCACATATTTACAGGGTATGAAAAGTATGTATAGACATTAATGGATTTTCATTGTGCTTATTTATATTGGGGAAAATAAAAGAAATGTATGTTGGTTATGTATCTTAGGTGGAAAATAGGGTAGGCTAAAATAAGCATTGCTTCTGTCTATTCCTTTTTTGGTTTAAGTTCAAGTTGTTAATATTGTTGTTTTGTTTGAAAAGAAAAAATTTATGTTAATGCTATAAACCAAAATAAAGACCGAAAGAAGAAGAAGAATAAGGCAGTTGCTGTCAGAATATATGTAGTTTGCCAAATTCCCGTTGTTCCAGTCTGATTTAATGCCTTTTTTTACATTCAGCTTAGAGAAAAAACAGTTGAGGAGACAGTACAAACTGGACGTCAGCCCCAGCAGGAAGCAGCAGCCTGATCCAAGCAGAGGGCAGCCTGAGCTGGAGGACACGAGCAAATGGAAAAGAGACAGCAGAGGATCCACGCATCCACTCAACAGACCCTTCTCCATCCCATTAGACCCTAAAACACGCATCAACTCACCCACCAGCCCCCTTCATCCCTACGCAGATATCCAGGGAACGACGAGGAAAGATGAGAGGCTGAAGGAAAGAGTTAATGTAGTGGTTCCTACAGATGAGACGAGCCTCGAAGTACGGCGAAGAAGAGAAAAGAGAGATGATTTTTTGTATGTTTAATTTTTTATGTCTACATTTGGTATCTACCGTAAAAATGTACAAAATATCTAAATTTAAATAGGACTCATTTTAAAAGTGTTTTATTCTCATCTATAAATAGTCGTAAAGGGAAGTCTATGTCTGCTGATGAACTGTCGAAGACCAGCTCTTCTGGCTCTGAAAGCTCACCTTCTGCCACTGAGGTAACCTTGGTCCTGATGTTGTCCCATCATCTTTAACCGGATTCAGCAATCTGCAACTAACACTCGAGTCCCTTTCAGGTTTTTCGTGTTGTTTAAATCATATCAGTGGGTTTTTCAAGGAACTGTGTGTGTTCAGTGCTGTGAGCTTTTGTTATGCAAGGAAGTCTCCTTCAGATCAGACAGTGGAGGCATCCCAGTCTGTGCCTCATCACTTTCTTTGGCCCCGTCAGGTCAGGGTTCGTCTCCGCAAGCAGAAAAAGCACAAGCGCCACTTAGCCTGCACCCGCAGCCGTTTGATGGGTAACTTGGGGAACTCCACGGAAAGCGAATACTGGAGCTTTCCGCTGCCTCCTGTCAGCCCCACTGTGCCTGGCCTGAAAGGCTCGGTCAGTAGCACAGATGTCCGGACCCTCACATCTCAGGGCAAGGTAGTGACCGTGGGGGGTATTTACGCCGTCATAGCTCGTCTCTGTAAAATGGACCTGCATGTGAGTGCCACATGTGGACTGGAAGCTTGCATTGTTATGGGATTTCTGATTTCTGCTCTTCAGCCCAGGACATGCAGAAAAAGGAGCTGTTGCTTTCAAACGGGGGGGGGGGGGGGGGGGGGGTTTAAGATGTCATGGATTTTATCAATATGTTTAACCCATTTCCTATAGTCGGAGAGAAAAAGGAGACAATGAACAACAAGTCAAACAGTTATAACTTTGGCAAAATCCACCGAACATCCAGTCAGAGTTTATATATAGAGAGATGAGAGTGGAGAAAGAGAGAGATTGTGTCTGTGTGTGGGAAGTCAAGAATGTGTGTGTGTGTGTGTGTGTGTGTGTGTGTGTGTGTGTGTGTGTGTGTGTGGTGGTGGGGGGGGGGGTCTGAATAAATGAGCATGCAGAGAGGCATAGAGCAATACATTTACATTCAGTTGATTGAGTCCATGATCAAGAATTAATAAACATACATTTTTCCATAGCAGTGTCAAAGCCCATTCCAGTGCTTATTTCTCATCTTTATTGTCTCTTCTTGTAACTGAGCAGCAGGTCAGCAGACACAGGTTAGGCTCATGCTATAACTTTAATATCAGGATGTTTTTATTCCATTTTATATATAAAAAAAAATACAAAACCTTCAATTCAAAGCTCATTATGATGCAGCTGAACATTAGCACTTCCTTCATGATGGTGTTTTTAAGTATTTGACACATTCCTATATATTAAAGGTGCGGTTGACTGTAAGAAAACATTTATTAAATATTCTTTCTGATTATAATCGGTTACTCTTTTCATGCAGGCTGAAAATGGAAATGGTCTTCTACATGTATATCCTGTTTTAGCTTCTGATAGAAAACAGTGAAACTCTAGAACTAAAAAATCCTCACAAATCTGAATTGGCATTCTTAGATTCACCGATCTTAACTCATGACGGGGAAGGATATTCCTGCTTTAGCGTTCAGGAATCGGCAGCAGACGTGTCTGTTAGTTTAAGCTAACAGTTAGCATTAGCAACCTCACCACATGGCAGAACTCCTCCAGGCTTGTGTTATCTGTGTAGATAAAAAGTCCATGTTGCAAGTAATGTGGTAGAGTTGCATTGCTGTTATCCAGTCTGGGGTTAGATGTCCAAATATCAGGAAATAAGACTAAAACCTGCCGCCTGAAGCTCATCTGTGATGTGGGTTACTTTTAAGTCTAAAAAATGGTGCACCAGTGTATTTCTTCTCCCCGAGAACGTCTTACAAGGCTTTTGTTTCCACTAAAAACCACTGCAAATGTATTGATTTAACAAGTAAACCACTGCTTTAATGAAAACTTTGATACACGTTATTGTACACAACCTTTACATGTTATAAGCTACTTCTACGCTACACAAACAAAGGTCCCTCTGGTTATGGCTAATCTATTGGTTTATGTCTAAATAATAGTGTTTATTGACAACCTTTCTGCAAGCAAAATATATTTTAAAATTTGTAAATGCACCCATTAAATCTTACTAATATTACCCAAAAAATAAATAAAACACACAAAAAAAACCAGGTTCACAAAGGTAGTGAAACATTTAACTTCTGGTAAGAGATGGGTAACTTTGCATGATGGTGAAGGACTGTTGCTATGCTACTGTGGTACTATCTCAATACATGGTGTGGTTTTGCGGTGCCAGAGCTGCAGGGATTCTTCTGAAAGAGACGGGCGTGGGAATCTGTCTTATGGGATTCATAGGTTGCTGCTTTTTTTGTGTGTTCTTTAATCTGCTGATTGTGTTTGTGTGTGTGTGTGTTTTAACTGTTACAGACAGGTGCAGAAACTGATAGTTCATGTTTGAGCCTACCCACCAGAGCCACCTATGACAATGCAGGTCAACACGGCTCTAACCAGTCACATCCCACTACTCCTGAACGGTATAGAGTAAAGTATAATGGTGTATACGATATTGTTATTTTTCTTTTCTCGCTATAAATGATTTCTTTATTGTGTTTTCTTTAGAACCGGGTTTCTCGGTAAATTCCTGAAGAAACGTACGCATAAAAGTTCTCCAACCAACGAATATCCATCAGATAAAACTGGTAACTAAAGTGTTTTAAAGTCTAATTGTTTTCATTTAGTAGCACTGTTTTGAAGCTCATAATCTTGTGACTAATTGCGCTATCTGCTATGTTCAGTAACATTGCCCAGTTACACTCCACATTCTTACCAAGCATCAAACCAAAGCAATGGGAGAGCCCACCGTAGTCCATCAGTCTGCATCAGCCGAGCCACGCGGGCCTTGCAGTGGGATGCATCTCTGGATAGAGAGATCACCGACCCTAGGGAGCTACGACACCTCGATGAGTTCCTTGGTGTTCAGGTAAGATCACCATCTGAGAAGTTATTAACAGATAAACTGTCAAGATTAATTTTATGTCGTTGCTTTAAGATCACTGATTCCAAAGTTTGCTAAGAGTACTGTAAATGTAAGGAAATTGCAATTATTCCAAATCCTTTGATTCATCCAACAATTATTGCCCCCTTATCTGGGTCCGGGTCGCTGGGGCAGCAGCCTAAGCAGAGAGGCCCAAACTTTCCTCTCCTGAGCCACTTGGGCCAGCTCATCCGGGGAAATCCCAAGGCATTCCCTGGCCAGCCGAGAAACATAGTCCCTCCAGCATGTCCTGGGTATTCTCTTGGGTCTCCTCCCAGTTGCCCGTGCCCGGAAAACCTCACCAAGGAGGCGTCTCAATCTATCAATCAATCAATCAATCAAACTTTATTTGTATAGCACTTTTCATATACAAAAAATACAGCTCAAAGTGCTTTACAGATTAAAATCAACCCTTATAACCCATAATCCCATCATTTCCCCAAAAATATCAAAATCATTAGTGTGACAGCTGGTGTAATGTGCTCCCGCCTCCTGGTCTTCATCAGGACACGTGCTGCTGAGTTTTGTAAAAGCTGTAAGCCTGAAATGCTCTTTGTGGGAAGACCAGAAAGCAGGACTTTACAGTAGTCTATTCTACTGGTGATAAAAGCATGCATCAGCGTCTCTGTTGGCCTGAGAAAGATTGGGGGTCGGACTCTGGCAATATTCTGTAAATGATAAAAACCTATTTTATTAATGTTTTTTACGTGTGGGATAAAAGTCAGCTCAGAGTCGAAAGTCACATCCAGGTTCTTCACTTGTTCATAAGGATTAAAAGACATTGATTGTATTTTTGGTAAAAGTTTCTCTCTCTGGACCGATGACTAAAACTTCAGTTTTGTCCTGGTTGAGCTGGAGAAAGTTTTCTGCCATCCAGGATTTGATGTCTAAAATGCAGGTAAAAGTGGGTCCATTGGCTGTGTGTCATCAGGAGACATGGAGATGTACAACTGTGTGTCATCAGCATAGCTGTTGAATTTCATCCCATGTCTCCTGATGACCCCGCCTAGAGGAGATCATATAAAGGTTAAAAGCACTGGGTCTAAAATTGAACCCTGGGGCACACCACATGTAATCCCATGAACCCTAGAAGAGCAGGTATCCAAACTCACCATAAAAGTTTTGCCTGTGAGGTAGGATGTAAACTATCTGTGAACACCACCAGAGAGGCCGATCTGTTTTAAACGACTTAAAAGAATAGTGTGGTCTACTGTGTCAAAGGCAGTGCTAAGGTCCAGTAGTACCAACCCTGTTACCCTTCAGGCATCATAACTTATTCTAAAATCATTTAAAACCTTCAGAAGTGCTGTCTCCGTGCTGTGGTTCACCCTAAACCTAGACTGAAATTTCTCTTGGACACTGAGTATTGACAAAATCACTAAGTTGAATTATAACAAGTTTTTCTAGAATTTTGCTTAAAAATGGTCAGTTGGATACTGGTCTGAAGTTGTTTAAATCATTAAAATCCAAATTGCTCTTCTTTGACAGGGGTCTCACCACCGCCCCTTTAAAGGTGGCAGGAAAGACCCCCGTCTGAAGTGAGCAATTCATCAAGGTTAATGAATTGCTCACTCGTGAACAAGACTTGATTTGATTTTCCCTGAAAATGGTTTCAGTATAAGGTTCTGTTGGTTTTGTATGTGTGTGAATGGGTGAATGACTGATTGTGTTGTAAAGCGCCTTGGGGTGTTCCATGACGATAGAAGGCACTATATCAAATACAGACCATTTACCATTGTCACCCATGTGTCCCTAATTTACACATTTGCCTCACCAGGTGAATGAGTTGCAAACAAGAATGAAAGAGTTGTCCCCAACAGAGAACACTTTCCTTTGTGCCACTAAGGAATTTAGAGAAGGCATCAAAAGCATGTATTCTGTCCAGGTAAGTCAACACTAGGAGGGAAAAGTTAGACACATTTATGGGATTGTTGTGTTTAGATGTGTTGTTTTTTTTTTCGTCAACCATATTAATGGTTGAATAACATATGAAGTGACATATGAATAAATAGCAAGAACTTATTGTGGACTCTTTGACCAACAGAAGCCCAAAATAGGTTATAAGGATCTAATGAAGAGCTACCATAACACAGTGAAAGCACTGGCAGGGCCACTGTCAGATGTATCACTAGTGATCAACCTGTTCCAGTCTGTACTGGACGGCTTCATCAGGACCGAAATAAAACGTGCAGACTCTGAACCAAACAAGGTAGAGCTGATCCTTTCAGTCAATAAACCACATGGAGCATCAAAGATAATTTGACTTGCTCATTTTTGTTTTCTTTCAGGCAACTAAGGCAACAAAGAAGAGACGAAAAAATGAAAAATGCGTAAGTTGAATCTCTATTTAAACTAACAGTGGCCAGTGTCCTGCTTCTCTACCCTACTGGTTGAAAGTGGAATTATAACTACCATAAACAACCCTGCTGTAGCTAGTGCTAATGAGTTAACACTAACATGAGCCAAGTCATACTAAAATAAATCATGAGGTAAAAAGAACCACACTACTGGACAAAAATATTACTTACAAGTCCAGTAACAATAAAGCCAGGTCACCATCAGTCTGTGATTTTGTAGCCTCCTTAAGCTCTATCAAACTAGTGTATGCCTCGCTGATGTTCACCCTGGTTGTAGCTCTTTGCTTTGTCTCCAAAGACAATACTCTTTACTTCCAGGCTCTGCCATGATGCCAACAAAAAAAAGCAAACTTATTTTTCTTCTACTGCTTTTTATTGACAATCGTCAAACTGAAAATGCTAACTGCTAGCATTACAGCAAACATCTGTAAAGCAGGTTTAGAGCGCCTCCTAGGACACCTACCCTCTCTACAAAACTATCTAGTGCTGTATTTGCCCAGCAGAGAGCTGTAGAGTGGTGTCAAATCTGAAACTGGTCAAGTTTCTAACACATCGGTCACTTAGATCAATGTTAAAGCTCTTTAAAAAGTATTTATTGTTACTTTTAAGTTTCCAAGTAACAAACTATTTGTGTTTGCAGCTTGAAAGCCCTTTGGATCATCTGTTCAGCACATACCAAGTAAACATTATGCAGTCGTGTGACCTGTGTGGCTCCTTTATCTGGGGAATGGAGAAAGCTTACATGTGTAGTGGTGAGTACAAACCGACAGACAAGCGCATATATGTGTAGAGATGATGAATTTACTTTTATTTTGTGAATTTTAGCTTGCAAGTTTGTTTGTCACAAACGATGTCTGGACAAAATCATCACAGATTGCTCAACACGGTGTGCCAGGAAGGTGGGAACTGAAGTTTTTATCGTAATTTATGTCTTCTCAAAAATATTCTCCTTGTTTACCTGAGATGTTTTATGTGTTAGGATGACAGTGTACCAGGCTCCCTCCACTTTGGGGTGCAAGTATGTGTCCTGACCAGTAAAACCAACCCTGTGCCCAAAGTGATGGAGCTATTGCTGATGCACGTGGAGCTAAATGGCCTCTACACTGAAGGCATTTACCGCAAGTCGGGCGCAGCCTGTCGAGCGAAGGAGCTGTACCAGGTTCTAGAGACTAGTAAGAAAATCGTTGCACACCACATCCCAGAAATGCATAGTTTTATTTTGGAAATGGTTAGAAGCATGTCAAATTTCAGTGAAGCAATTAAAATATCTCAGCTGTGGGTTTTGATTTTGCTCCATCAGACCCTGAGAAGGTTTGTTTGGACAACTATCCCATTCACACCATCACAGGCCTGGTTAAACGCTGGCTCAGAGACCTGCCAGATCCTCTCATGACATTTTCACTCTACAATGACTTTTTGCTTGCTACTGGTGAGAAGCCAAATAGTTAGAGCTACTTTAAATATCTGAAACTACTGAAGTAGGGAAAATTCTTCATTATTTCCCTTGTTCACCCACAGAGCTGCCAGAGAACTCCGAGAGACTAAAGGCTGTATACAAAAAGATTGACGAACTTCCTCCTGCTAATTACAACACACTGGAGCGACTCCTGTTTCACCTTGTCAAGTAAAGGATTCTCTTTTTTTGTTTTTTCAAATAATGCAGCTCACATGAAACTTTAACCAGTGTCTCTTTCAGGGTTGTAAAAGAAGAAAAGCACAATAAGATGTCACCAGGTTCTCTTGCAATTGTGTTTGCCCCCTGCATCCTGCGTGCACCGGAGTCTAGTGACCCATTTTCTGGTTTGAGGGATGTGTCCAAAACTACTTTGTGAGTCATCATACCACCCTGTACTGTAGCTATGCACACTTTTCAAACAAACCCTGACTTCAAAAACATGGATATTTTCCAATAATAGGCAACATAAATGTTCTGGATATCATTGTACATCATGATTATGATTATGATCTTCCACTCCTTCCAGGAATCCAATTTATCCTCATGTAATCCCCTTTTCATCTGAATGAAATGAGCGCCGTTCATGGCTGCTCTTGTGGTCTGCCTGTATCTGTTTTGTCTACATGTGTGTGTGTAACCTTGGTCAGGCTGTGCTGCGGAGTCAAAGTCCTATGCTTCGGGACACTGGAGCACTGGCAATAAAGCTTTTCTGATTCTGATTATTACTTCTGAAGATATGTCATTATCAATGGTTTATTCAGCTGTGTGGAGATCCTGATCTGTGAGCAGTTGAGACGCTACAACAAGAAGATGCAGGATATCCAGAAGCTGGAGCATGCAGAGACCGAGGCTATCAATGAGCTTAAGCTGAAGAGACAAAACACGGTTAGGATGCACCAAATAGCATCAGCTGTTTGGCTTTTTATGCTTATTTTTGATGTTCATTCTTGTATATTTTAGATTTTATATAGTTTTAAAAGTGTGGAACACTGGAAAACTATTTTTAAAGTGCTTTTTCATATTAAAATCGCTCACTGAGTTTTTCATGCAGGCTGAACATGAAAATAGTATCCTACACCTATCTCTTGCACTAGTTTCTGATAGAAAATAGAAGGTGAAACTCTGATTTGAAAAGACTGACAGATCTACATCACACTGTCACTTAACATTCATGGACTCACCCATTTTAAGGCACAACAAGGAAGGCTGTTGTTAGTTTAGCATCCAGCAAACCGCATAGATAGTCTTCACTAGTAGAAGCTAACTGTTAGCATTTGCAACTCCGCCAGGCTTGTGTTATTTGTGGAGATTAAACATCAACGTTGCAAGTCAATGGTAGAGTTGCGTTGCTTTTATCCAATCCGAGGCAAAATGTCCAAATATCAGGAAGTAAGACTCCAAATCCTGCCATCTGAATCTCCGCTGTGATGTGGCTCACTTCTAGTTCCTGGAAAGGGTGCACCGGTGGTTTTTGTCGTCTGAGACTTGCAAGGCATTAATTTCTACTAGAGATTACTGCAAACGTAATGATTAAACAAGTGATCCACACCTTTTTAAGCATGAAATTACAGCTATCTTTTTATCATAAACATTAGTTAGACATTGATATATACATCCATGGATTATTTTGGCTGAATGTGTGTGTAAGACTAACACAATCAAGATCTACTCATAAAAAACAGTTGATGGCACAACGGTTATCTCACACAAAAACAATCTGAGTCTTGGACATTGTGTCAGAATGACTGAGTAGAACCAACCAATCACCAACTTTGTTCTGATTCTCATGCAGGTCCTTGAGAGGCCAGATGAGAGGGAGAGTACCCTCATTGAAAGAATCAAATCACTCAAGCAAGAAAAGTGCGTTGAAACTTTTTTAATTTCATGTACTCGGAGCATTTACAGTTGAATCCTAAATGGAATGCCTCCTTTTTTGTGCTCGTCAGGGCCGAGGTCGCCATCGGCCTGCGTGATTTGGAGCAGGAGACTTCTGACTGTGAAGTCATGGATTCTTCATCATCTATGAGCACAGAGAGCCTCGACCTGCTGGGCAGCCAGGAATGGGTAGGTCAGTAGTGAGGTAATACACTGTCATTTTCCCACCATCACTATTGCTCATTACTACAGTGTCTTTGTGTAGGATATAGATGCACTAAAAGCCTAAGAAGGCTCGATAGTTTTTTTTTAAATGCCCTATTATCCATAGAGAAAATAGCTCATATGCTGAAGTTGCACAAGAAAAACCCAGTGGTGTGGAACTTCCTTTTCTGTGTGACCCACTGCTACAAAATTACAAATTTCATGTTTAGTTCTGTGGTTTTGGGTCAGAGTTATATTGTATCATCTAGTATCACATGTTAAATAATTAAATTATACACAATCCATTGTCCATGATTGGTTGTATTAATAATAACCTAATGCTTGCTATTTTAATTGAATATCTATAGCTTTAGCCTAAAGCAGGAAGCTATGTTATTATACCACATCGGTTTACTAATCTGTCTCTTTTACCAGGAAAGATGGCCCTGCAACTGAAAACTCTCAAGTGCGATAGCCCTCATAATCCTGCTGACCTGGCGCAGAGTGTCACAAGTGTGGCGGCTAAGACGGAACAAAGACATCTCACCTCAGAACAAAACGCAAATGTTGCTCAGTCCACAACCAGCCGAAATACGCCTTCCCCAAGCAACAAACTGCAGATAAAAAGCCAGGCTAATAATAGAAGCTTTAATGACCTGGATATCCCTTTTATTGATGAGGTTGAAGATTAAATGAAACTAAAATGCTGCAAGTTGCCAAAATTGAAATATTCTCAAGTATGTGTTAACACAACTCAAAATGTGCACTTTCTTTTACTGACATTTATGTTTTTTTTTAATTGCTGCTAAAAGGAGACAGTGATTTAAGAATTTGTGCATATTGAAAATGGCGTTGTGCTGATTGATCTTTTAGGCTTTTGCTGACAGATCCAGAGAATTCTCGTGATCTTCATGTCAGCACACTGACATTAAACACATTTTAATGTTGTGCTAAGTGCTTTTTTATAAAAGGCAAGTATTTTAGACCAGATTTGTGTAGCAAAATCAGATTAGAAAACCAGGACAACTTCATGTGGAGCAACTAAGTTTATATGCCTCCTTTTAAACTAATAAACAGGACTCTGGAATTTAATTCTGGAATATACAGTTTGTGGGAAAAGACACTTTTTTTATTGAAACATAAACAGTTTAAAAATTGTACATAGTGACTGCATGAAAGCAGCAACACTGTAACTTAGGATCTAAGTAGAAAACCCTTTTTTTCTTCCCTTTATTTGATGTACATGTATTTCTACTGTGATCATTATGAATTCTCGCTAAAATTGTTCCTAACTTTCAATTAGACAGTTTTTTTTTTTGTTTTTTAATATAATTCAAAAGAGTACCAGGTAAACTTTGTATCTCTTTTTGTGCATGTCTGTTGTAGAAATTATGCCATGGACAGTCAAACTCATGTGAATGGTCAAAATAAATGAAAAGCTTTCAACCTTATTACTGTGAGATTAATTTATGGAGTAAAACTGCAATGCTATTTCTTTGTGTATGTGTGTTTTATATTAGATTACAATTTATCTGATACTTTATTGTAAAAAATATATATCAAAGCTGTTAACAAGTTAAAGAAAACATTCAAGGTTGTATGCATGATTAATGTGGGCTTTACTTTACATCCATACTAATAATTGGTTGACTTCATTAAAATAACCGAACATCTTGTACAGTTTCTTTATAAACACAACCACTCCAAGTATGGCATTTCCTTTTAGTTCCCCGCGGTGTGACGCTCACAAATCGCCATGTGCGGAGAACGGCACAAACTTCTTCGGAGCCAATCAGATGCAGAGGAGTATCGTTCCGTGTGACAGACAGCCAATCACTGTGGGTATTTTGCCTGAAGGGGCGGGCCAGGAAGACGGGCACAAGTGAGGTGGGGATGAGAGAAATCATCATAGTTAGCTCCGTGCTAGCTGCCGACTGTAGAATTGTAATGAGCTTAATAGCCAAATTTACTAGACTGTTTTAATTCTGTTAGAGGCCACGATGAAACATTGACAACAAGAATGGACATAAGTTAACGATGACGGGGGAGAAAAAGAAGAAGAAGCGGCTGAACCGCAGCATTCTTCTTGCAAAGAAAATTATAATAAAAGATGGAGGAAGTGTGAGTTAAATATTTATTTTTTCCCCGTTAACTTATATTGAGCTACTGGTTCTTGGATATCGTTATAGACAGACGCATTGTTTTTAATGAATAAGTACAGCAACTGTATTTGAATGTGTTTGTGACTGTCAAAAAAAAACGTTTGTCGTTAACGCTCGGTGTTGAAGGCTCCGCCGACAAGCTAAGTGGCTAACTGTAAACTAGCATTGGCCTGCTACTCGTTTACACGTCAGCTCAGGTAACGCTAACTGGCCAGTGACAATGATAGCAATGTTTTTCTCAAATAAACTACTTTTCACAGCTATTCGGTTGCCCCGAGTGTTACCTCATCTACGAATTTTTTGTATAAACTGCATGTGACTGTCATTCATCACCACAAACCCATTAGCTAACTCGTGTTTTCAGTTTATACCTGTTTTGCTAGCATAGTCAACAGTTTATTGTTGTTTACGCCACCTTGTCGTTAAGATAAGAATCAAAGTAGGAAGACTTGACAGGTAATGGGTTATTAACCAAGTGTCTTTAATGCTGCTACTGACAAAAAATAAACATCAATATTTGGTAACGTTAGTTATAAACAAACTGATTCAACATTCCAGATTAGTGAATATTTGTATTCCACTGGTCATGGACAGCAACGTGGTCTGCATGGTTATGCTACTACTTTGATAAAATACTTTCAGCTCTAATCTGGACCTGTTGTTCTTGGTCAGTGTATATTCTCATGTCAGCAGTTAATTTATACACACAAATCAGCATGCAGCCATATCATAATGTGACTAAATTGTTCCCAACCTTTCAAGCATTGCACTTTCCTAATAGACACATCAATAAGTCCTCCTGTTTTCTTTAAAGAATGTTAGTTATTTCAAGTATTTAAACTGTCTAATATTTTTTTTAATCCAAAACAGTCATTGGCAAAGGATGAGTTTGGTGTGTGATATTTATGAAAAAGAGTGATGCATCACTATTTGTTATGTAATCACATTTCAACAGTAATGTCCGACATGTGAAGGTTAAGCTGTAGGGATATTGATGAGAACCAGTCATGTTTTTTCTTCTGTTGTAATCTTGCCATCCTGTTTACTCTGCATTTGAGATTTTGTGCGTCTGCTTTGTATAATTGAAATTGCTTCACTCTGTAATTGTGTCCAGTTTTGACCACTCCGACATCATGGTTTCCCTAGTCACTACTAGAGCTCACAAGTCAACAGCAATATGTTCCTTAATGTATTGCAAGGTGTTGGTTTATTTCAGAGGAAGTTGCACAATTCATGTTTATCTGTTAAAGATTGTTCCTCTTTTTCTCAGGCACGTGTAGACATGCACTTATGGAAATAAAGAAAGCTGTCTGAGCAGAAGTAATTTCCACCCAAAGGACTTACTGTTATGTAGGATTGTACACGGATGGCACACCAAAGAGACGAGCTAGGTTTTCTAAAGTTAGTGCTGGCCTACCCAGTAGCCAACACAATTAACATACCTAATTGTGTTTGCTGCACAGCAACAAGATTTCATCACTGTGCTGATTCACACTGAGGTGATGAGGCTTCCCCACAAAAGGAGTCAGTTTCAAAGAGATAATAAGGGTATTTATTTATGTTGTGTTTGATACACGTCTGGTTATAGATTCTATTTAAAGTTACCAGCATACATAATTATTTAGCTTTACTAAAAGTGAAGATTGATGTTATTCCTTGTTGATATGATGTATAGGATTAAATAAATCCTCATGATCTGCTACATTGATCTATCCGCGGCTTCTCGTGCTTTAGTGTATAGTTTCTGGTTAGATTATTTGAAAATATTGGCTATTTATATGTTAACTATATTACATTAACTATATTGGAATATGTAAACAATTAAAAGTTTTCACAGAGAGAGTTTCTCAGAAGTTTCCTTTCAAAATACTTGTTTGTATTTAAGAAGTTGTCTCTTTTGAGCACACTCAAAGTGCTAACTGGATGTCTTCTTCCCACTGCACTTCTTGAGATTTATAACAGTCTTGTTTACTTGGTCCAAAACTCTGGTTGGTTCATATAAAATGGCTAGGTGAACTTTTCTGTGGCTCAGATACCATCCTAGATTAAAAAAAAATGAATAACAGTCTGGCCCAGCTGTGGGTTGTCCCACAAAATCAGGTGCTGATTACTGTTTCATGTCATTTGGCTGACTCAAAATAGGTTCCAGTGTAAAGCTGAATTTGTTAATGTGTTACCATCAACAGGCATTTTACAAACACTGATTGTTACTTGTCAGCTAACGGCCTTTTTGTGTTTGTCTGTTTCTGTGTTTATTTAGCCTCAGGGAATCGGAGAGCCCAGTGTTTACCATGCTGTGGTTGTCATCTTCTTGGAGTTTTTTGCATGGGGTCTCCTCACCACCCCGATGTTCTCGGTAAGCCCTAATCTCTGACGTGCTGTCATTTAAACTTACATGACCTCCTGCATCTCTTTGTGCCCTCCCTCCCGAAAAACCTCAGCCAGTGTGCCATTTCATATTGACTGGAATCAAATGAGACCCATCAGTGTCGATGAATAATTTAATCTCTTCAGCCGGACAAAAATCTGTGCCTTTTATTTATTTTTTATTTTTTGCGTGTGCTCTAATTGGAAAGCGTTTTGCTAAACACTAATGAGATATAAAATAAAATAGGGCATGAAGCTGTTGTATTGTATTCTACTGCTACGCCTGGTGTGCTTGCTACAGGCTTCTTGAGCTGCAATATTCATACCAATTTCACTTTAATACACTAATGAACTTTAAGATATAAATGTTTACTGGATTTGATATGACTTGGAAAGTTTCATACCAGCAGGATAGTTATTTTTAGTGATATCTCACGCTAGCATAGAATTCTAGATCAACTGTAGTAAAAGCAAAATATTTTGCTGTGCAGCATGGTCTACCATTGGCCTGGTCATTTTTGTGTCTTGCCAAAACAGCGCTCTACATTCAATGGACGAGCTAAAAGCTACTTTACAGAGCAAACTAGGATTTGAATGTAAACACAGTCACAGAACACTTTCACACTTCCCCTTGGGTATCTTCCCTGAGATGCTTCTGCTGGAACTAGAGACCTGCGATGCCAGAGGAAATGAAATGGCGCTAAACACCAGTTGCTGTTTTCTACGTCGACTCGTCTTTTGTTGTCCGTGACTTGAAGGTGTTTTTCTTTTTGGGACTCTGATAGTTTGTCCTAAAGTTGAAGTGACAGCAGCCGGTTTCTCCTTCTCTGATATTATTGAGCCACGAACCTCTTACACCAGTGGTGTTCTGTTGCAAAGTATGCGAGTGTGTAATGAATGGAGGACCAGGGGAAGTGCTACGGTTCAGCCAGACCGACAACCGGCCAGAAAGCGACTATTGGCGGAGGTTTTTAATCAAATACGAGAGAACCGCTATATACATTTTTTTTTGTCTCCACAATATATTTATAGCTATGCTATGTTAGAAAGTTAAGAGACATTAAAAAAGCATTTTAAGCTAATTTGTTTTCCATATTTGCCATTGTAGCTTTATTGTAGAAGCTGTGTTGGGGGGGAAAAAAGACAAAAATAGCATTAGCTCAGGAATGGTGCTTGTTTGAAATGGCTTTGGCATCAACTTTGAGCAATTTAGACTTTGAGACATGAGCAGATTAGGGTTGTCACGGTATGAAAATTTAACCTCACGGTTATTGTGACCAAAATTATCACGGTTTTCGGTATTATCGCGGTATTTTTTAAACGGTGTTGCATATGTTCAGAAAGCATTGATAGTCCTGTTCTACACAAACTGAAATAGTTCTGAAAAGGTTTAACAGTGTTTATTAAACCTAAAATAACACAAAGCCTTAGCAAAAGTGCAACTTTTCACAAGTAAAGGAACAAATAGCTTATTTTTCTGGAACATGTTACAGTAGTCAGTGCAGGTTTAAATTATACAAATCCAAACATTCGAAACATAAACAATATGTAAACAAATCAAATAAACACCACTTGTTTTCTCATATACTTGTTTTCTTCATTATCAAAATGAAAATCTAAAACTCCAGTCCACACTTGACTTGAGCACTGTACAAGTCAACCTTAAAAAATATGTATTTAAAATAAATAGCCACTTTAAACAAAGTACTAAAATAACTACTACACTATGTAATCAAATCCAAATGTTCAAGTATAAATGGCATTGAATAAGTAAACAAATCAATGACAAGGAACTAATTGTATATTTCTCTTCATCATCAACAAATAAGATGCTTCATCCAGCAACAGGTTGTCCGTGACACGGTTTAAATGCTGGCAGAGGACGCTGCGGCTGCAGCATATAGTGACTCGTTGCATTCTCCCTCAACCAAAAGTCCTCACGTCATGCATTTAAGCTAAAATGCTAATGTTAACTTACCTTGCACTGGCTGTAGAGACGTGGGTGATGGTCATGCAGATGTGCCATTAGATTCGAAGTGTTGCTGCCTTTTGCAGACACTTGTTTCCTGCACGTTCTGCAAACGGGATCGCAGTCTTCTATTAACTGTCCCTCAGCGTTTTTCAGAAATCCAAAATATGCCCATACTTCCGATTTAGTCTTCTTTGAGGGCTGATGGATGTCCTGGGCGCTGCCGTCTCCTCCTTCGGTCATTATTTCAGCTTCAAAGTTTTGGTGCCGTTGCAAACTAAAAAGTGCGTGTGCGCGCCGCAGGAACTTCAGCTGAAGCGACGGTGGCTGGTAAGGGTCATCGCGCCGAAACCGCGGCCACGGTAAACCCACCGAGATAATATAGTTTTTTAAAAACTGGACGGTTATTTTTATTGTCAACTTTTTTACCGGGGTTTACCGCTATACCGGTTACCGTGACAACCCTAGAGCAGATAGAGGTACTTTAACCATTTATTTTGAAAAAGGATGTATTTGCTGCTTCTTTGGCAGTGAATGGCGGACTGCCCTAGAATGACATCTGTAGCGATGAATCACATTGGAACTGTCCAATTGCATGCCAAGACAGTTTAAACACAACCGTAGGTTCCACCTGGTTGTTGTACTGGCTAGTGGCCAGACTATATTTTCACATATAAGATGGCTTGCCAGGCTATTTCTTCTTCTTTTTATTATTATTTTTTTTCTTCAAAAGCAGTTTTTAATTAATGTTTTCAATTTCAGTAAGTTTTATTTTTGGCAGAAACTTGTATCTCGGATCATGAGCATATCTGTGAGCTACATGGCGTAAAGCAGACAGACTTATGCAACAGTGGACACTTTTCAGCAATGTCCTGTTTGAAGAGGAAGTAGTATATGCAACTTTTTAGCATTAATTATTGGAAGGTTGTTGTCATTATGATCTCAGGGAGGAAGCATAATTTGCATTTTGGACTAATCAGAGACTGCCTGAAGATGAGGGACTGCTTCACTGCTCCCAGTGAGCACACAGTTCATTAGTAACCAACAGCAACATTGAGCATTAAAAGTCTTGTTATGATTCTCAGAGGAACAGAGGACTCTTTTCTGTGCTTTAAAGTCTTACATTAAGCTTAAACAGTAAACTGGTCCTTTTATTAAGTGTTGTTCTAGCCCAAAGCATAACTTGTCAATGACACAAACAAGACACGCTGTGGACTTGTGGACGCTGTGCTAAACCTCCCTCTGGACTTTATCTGTTCACCTCTCACTCTTGTTCATACACACTAAGAATAAGTATTGAAATATATATATATATATATATATATATATATATATATATATATATATATATATATATATATACACACATATACAGTGGGGCAAAAAAGTATTTAGTCAGCCACCGATTGTGCAAGTTCTCCCACTTAAAATGATGACAGAGGTCAGTAACTTACATCATAGGTACACTTCAACTGTGAGAGACAGAATGTGAAAAAAAAATCCATGAATTCACATGGCAGGATTTTTAAAGAATTTATTTGTAAATCAAGGTGGAAAATAAGTATTTGGTCCATAACAAAAATTCAACTCAATACTTTGTAACATAACCTTTGTTGGCAATAACAGAGGTCAAACGATTACTATAGGTCTTTACCAGGTTTGCACACACCGTAGCTGGTTTTTAACCCATTCCTCCATGCAGATCTTCTCGAGAGCAGTGATGTTTTGGGGCTGTCGCCGAGCAACACGGACTTTCAACTCCCTCCACAGATTTTCTATGGAGTTGAGGTCTGGAGACTGGCTAGGCCACTCCAGGACTTTCAAATGCTTCTTACGGAGCCACTCTTTTGTTGCCCGGGCGGTGTGTTTGGGATCATTGTCGTGTTGGAAGACCCAGCCACGTTTCATCTTCAAAGCTCTCACTGATGGAAGGAGGTTTTGGCTCAGAATCTCACGATACATGGACTCATTAATTCTATCCTTAACACGGATCAGTCGTCCTGTCCCCTTAGCAGAAAAACAGCCCCAAAGCATGATGTTCCCACCCCCATGCTTCACAGTAGGTATGGTGTTCTTGGGATGCATCTCAGTATTCTTCTTTCTCCAAACACGACGAGTTGAGTTTATACCAAAAAGTTCTACTTTGGTTTCATCTGACCACATGACATTCTCCCAATCCTCTGCTGTATCATCCATGTGCTCTCTGGCAAACTTCAGACGGGCCTGGACATGCACTGGCTTCAGCAGCGGAACACGTCTGGCACTGCAGGATTTGATTCCCTGCCGTTGTAGTGTGTTACTGATTGTGACCTTTGTTACTGTGGTCCCAGCTCTCTGCAGGTCATTCACCAGGTCCCCCCGTGTGGTTCTGGGATTCTTGCTCACCGTTCTCATGATCATTTTGACCCCACGGGATGAGATCTTGCGTGGAGCCCCAGATCGAGCGAGATTATCAGTGATCTTACATGTCTTCCATTTTCTGATAATTGCTCCCACAGTTGATTTTTTCACACCAAGCTGCTTGCCTATTGTAGATTCACTCTTCCCAGTCTGGTGCAGGTCTACAATTCTTTTCCTGGTGTCCTTCGAAAGCTCTTTGGTCTTGGCCATAGTGGAGTTTGGAGTCTGACTGTTTGAGGCTGTGGACAGGTGTCTTTTATACGGATAATGTGTTCAAACAGGTGCCATTAATACAGGTAACGAGTGGAGGACAGAAAAGCTTCTTAAAGAAGACGTTACAGGTCTGTGAGAGCCAGAGATTTTCCTTGTTTGAAGTGACCAAATACTTATTTTCCACCCTGATTTACAAATAAATTCTTTAAAAATCCTGCCATGTGAATTCATGGATTTTTTTTTTCACATTCTGTCTCTCACAGTTGAAGTGTACCTATGATGTAAATTACTGACCTCTGTCATCATTTTAAGTGGGAGAACTTGCACAATCGGTGGCTGACTAAATACTTTTTTGCCCCACTGTATATACCGTAAATCCTCTAATACAGGCCCGGGCCTGTATTTGA